CAGCAGTGAACTCTAATAATAACTGGAAGGCTAACTCCTATGATGAAAGTCTATGATTCGTTGAAGCCGGCGCGCGGGAAAATCAGCTTTCAAAAGGACTAAGGAGAGTTTCGAGGAGTGAAAAAAATTCTGTCAAAGGTTTGTTTTCGAGCAAAAATTTGCAAGAAAAACACTTTTCCCATGGGAATACAACAATGACTTGGGATTTAAACCAAATTTCCGATTAGTTCCAACTGTTTTACATCTCTCTGCAGCAAAAAGTAAGGAATTTTGCTTTTGTATTTTGAAAAAATGACGAAAGTTTGGACGTGCCGAAGGAAATCTCGCCGTTCAACTCAAAAATATATACTATAAAACATTTTGACAGTCCCAAAACTTATGTTGTACTAAACCCCAGGTATTGGTATTGATCCTGAGCTTTTAGTCCTTGTTTTAGTCGCTCTTAAACATAAATAAATTGGCGTTTTTCAAGTGATGTTATTTTCGTCATCGGCATCTTGTTGGCCACTATGAGCACTTTGAATATGGTGATATTTTTGTCGATTTTCAAATGCTTTTTTTTCGATCTTAAAACGTTCAATCTTCTTGAAACTTCGCATACAGATGTATTTTGCATGGGTTTAAATAATTCCTGAGGTATGACGTCTTAGTTTTATCTTAAACTTCCAAAAACTCAGAAAAAGCAGCCTAAAACGCGCGGTTTTTCAGACCGTTCATTCTTATGGTCGTGTTTTTCGCATTTTTTTTGCTAATTCGTGATTTGTTTGCTTTGCGAATATTAAATTCATTTATCATACTACTGATATAAATTAAATTTGGTAGTATAACTAATATTTTGGGGCAAGATTTTTCTGATCGAAAAATGTGCATATTTTGAAAAAAAAATGTAAAAAGGACTGGGTCTACCTACAAAAAAAGCTTCAAGCACGGCTTCAACTTCCCCCCCCCCCTGACTTAGCCTTCCAGTTATTATTAGAGTTCACTGATTCCGTGTGACACAAAACAATCAGCAATTTCACAGGAGATTCACATCTGTATTTACCTCATCTGTGACCCAGAGGAGGAATGAGGGTCTTCCCACAATGCATTGCGTCTCATTATTATTCACAATTACGATTTTCAACGAACGTTTGGCGAAAAGTTGTTGAAATACATTGCGATTTTGGCTTCGTATATCTCGTTTTTTCGAAGGTATGTTTTTATATTTGTATTATTTAAGAACCTAATTAAACTATTTTTTACTTATTTGGTACAGGAATTGCCTTTTAGTTATGCTAATTACGCATTGTAATTATGCTTGTTCCGGGTCAGTGGACACGCCAATAAAATAACCTTGATATAATGCAGAAGTAAATTCACTTTTTTTTTATGAAAATAAAAACAAAACACGTCATCGAATTCGGGAAGATTTATTCTTTCTACTGTTACTTTAAAACATGAATTTTCTACACTAAACGGACGAGTAATCGCGGTTTGAAAATGGGGACTTTTGCTATATTCTATCGCCGATGGCGGGAATAGACCGCCTGATAATCATCATGGCGCCAAGGAAATTATTGTACTATAAACACTATTTTCCATGATAATTTTGAAACATACGCATTTATGTTCGTACATATTTCCCCCGGGGAAACCTAATAATAAAAGACACAGAATTTCTCGTTTCAAAATTCAACATCAAGCCGAACTTTGTTTCAGAGTCCAAAGCCAAGGTGTATTTAAAAGTACAAATGTTTTTACAAACATATTAAAAATACAGTATGATTACACAAAAACATTGAATATTTTTAATGAAACAATATGTTAATAATGGGGGCTTGAGTTATTATCATAGTGACAGTAACATTGTATTTTAATGCTTTTTTGCCTGGGAGGATTTCTGTCCATAGGCATATGAGGCTGGGGGGGGGGAGGGTTGCAACCCCATCCAGTCAGTGTTTAGTTGGGCAGAATTCTGCTTTAGGAATTGGGCAATTGTTTTAAGATTGACTTTAAACAGTATTTCTGCTAGTCTGTATAGGAGATGTATTCCTTCTATTTTATACCTCTTGTTCACAAACTCATGACAATGTTGGGCAATTTCTATTCACCCGTACGCCAAAATTATTTTTCAATGCTGGGCATTCCAGAAAACCTATAGTACACAAATTTCCTGGAGAAGCATGCACACAATCCTGGTAAAAATCCATGAGTTTCTTTGTTGTTGTCTAATTGTGCTGGCACTAACATTGCTCCTCTCACTTTTGCTGTTTGTTTTGTAGTTTCTTATCAGAAAGATTAAACGACTCCTCCAAAGAAATTCCCAGTTAAACTTCATAAATGGACATTTGAGGAAGATAAAGCATTCATTGAATTCATATCTGTTGCAGAAAATCATGCAAATCATTACGATTGAAGAGGTTTACCAATTATGTAATACCTCTAGATTGTTTTAATACATCATTAAGCTAGAGCAAAAGCATCACCTTTCATATACTTTATCATATAGCATCCATGTGTACTGGTGAAATGAATGTGTGCAATATTTTAAAATTGTGTGCATAAAATTTTATTTTTAATTTAAAAACATTTTAATTATCTTTAAGTACAGCAATATTATGTTAATATTTTTTCGATTTTAAAATAAATAAATTTTATCAACATCAATTATGTAGTGTGATCTTTTTATTAATTTGTGATGAGCAAGGGAAGACTATACACTGAAAATCATGAAAACCATACATACCATAAACCTCTGAATATAAGCCCCCCACCCCCATGTATAAGCCCCCCTTGTGTAAGCCCATCAAAAATCGCTTACAAAAGAATATAAGCCCAGTGCTTTTAGGTGGAGGTTTACAGTAGATTGTCAAAAAACTGCAGAACTGATAAGATGCGGTCCATGGGATGCAATACTTATGGTATAATCAGGGAAGTGACAAAAACACATGCAGTATAGGAAAACTGGGGTAGGGCCAAGACTATACCATTAGAAGCTCCCCAGCTCTATCCTTACAAATAAAAGAATTATCAGTATTACACCAGACACCAATAAACAATTTTTCAGCTTCTGCTAAACATTTTCTTTCGATGTTTTTTAACCCATTGAGTGTCAGCAGTCTCCCGCTGATGAGTAAATAGTCTAGTATTAGACAGCAAAATAATTTGGCGTTAGGCAGAGTAAAATAATAGACAACTGGTTGATCATTTGAGCATAGATAACTGGTTGATCAGTATAAATCCTTGCAATGCATCACACAGTAGTCAATACATTTATATATAGTGTTGCGATAGTGTTGAATTTCCTCCATTTCATTCTTTACAACAATGCTACCACTGGGCGCTTCTTCCATCATTCGGTGTGTATGAATGTCTGTCAGGACAAACAGGGTTTATTGGTAAATTAAAACAGTTATACAATCAGTTGGCTGATGTAATTCTATTGGTGGAAGTACACTATCCAGCTCATCATCTTGACTATCTGGGTCACATGGTGGGATTGCTTGGGATGTTGGTGATGTTGAAATGTCAAACTCCCACAACATAACATTGCTATATTCTTTGTTTATACTTCCTTCCCGTAGATCATTAGGGTCGAAGAACTACATGATATCAGGCCCGGAGCTGGCTCTGATTGTTTGGGGGGGCACTCCCCAAACAGAAACGATAAAGTGGGAATGGAATTTTGCCGAACGGGTGGTGCGATCTCGAGGGACTCTCACTTGTACGTAGGTACTGTACATCATAAAAAAGTTTGAGCTTCTGCCGAAACAAGGGAACCGTATAGATAATGGCAAACTGGGAATAAGTAAAAACAAACTGTTGAAAGTTTCACAAAAAATACACACGACAATAATAACAATATACAATAGCCTCATTTATTGATAATATCAATCAGTTAAGTGCTATCATAATGCAAAACATGCACGACCTGTCAAATTACAACGACAATGCTCTTGGTTTCAAGTTCCAAGCTTTGTAAAAATCGTCAAAGGTAATGTCATTTATCAGAACTTCGCTTTCAAAACTTAGATAAGCTAGATTTGCTTCTCTTTCTGTTTTCATCGACCTCCGCTGAGGGGAATCAACTCTTGTAAGGGATGAAAAAACACATTCAACCCTCGTTGATGTGAAACCAGCAGTGATAGCTACTTTGTACAACGAAGATAGTACAGGAGCTCCCTTCTGGTGTTCCTTTAAGACAATGTTAGCGACCTCGCTCAAATCAACTTTGTCAGCTGCATTCTTGGGCCATTCTTTGTCTTTAAAAACACGAGAAAAAATTCGGCACTCAGCTTCTAAATCTTCGCGTGATAATTTTTCTTTTTGATAGAAATCTCTTATCACTGGAATATTCACCGCGTACTCAAATAAGGGTATGAGAGCATCATAGTCAAGATAATTATCTGACGACGGCGATAAGGCCAGTATGGCTTCCCATAGTGCGATGTTTTCTTCAGAAAATCTTCGGAGGAATTCCGCATCCAGCAAATCTAAGCACTCGACAAAAATTTGACAGTTGGTGCGACTGTTGTTTGCGCTCGGGATACGGTCAGTTATTAAAAAATCATCAAAACGAGAGGGAACAGCAGTATTTCTTGTAGGTCTGCGTTGCACTTGCACGCCGTCGGTTGACGTGATCCTCACACTTTCTAAGAAATCATCAACCATCTTTTTAACTTTCTCATTCGAAGTATTATTTTCGCGTTTCGATTTGATGTCGTCTTTGACGGCGTTGACCACGTGCAATGCTGAAATAAGGTTTTCGTCCGGGGATTGTAATTGTTTAACAACAATATCAATAGGTTTCAACACATCCATCAACATACAAGTTATGAAGACAAACACGTGGTCTTCATTATCTTCCATTAGGCTAAGGAGCCCTTAGCTCGATCTTCACCAGATAACTTCTTATTTTTTGATGCCACCATAAGCGCTTGGATCAAATCGCCATAATTTTTGTGCACATGGCTGGTACTTTCAAAGTGACCAGACCATCGCGTCTCAATAAGCCGTTTCAATGCAGTGCCGTTATACGATTCTAACACAGCTGACTTCTTAAAGAACTTGTACAGGGCTGCTGTAGTATCAAAATATTCCTTTACTTCGTCAAGATTTTGCATGAGAAAGCTGACAACCAGGTGGATTTTGTGGAGAAAGCAGTGTACATATAACACATTCCGATCGCAAAAATCACTAATTAACCTCTGCAAGCCGCCATAGTCGCCTGACATCACGCTTGCCCCATCGAAGGATTGTGACACAAGGCCGTCAACTGAAATGTTAAATTGTACCAAAGCTTCTTTGATGAATTTGAAAATACCTTTAGCTGAGCGATCATCGATTCCCTTGACGTTAATACATCGTTCCTTAACATTCCCGTCCGACGATAAATACCGACAAACGATACCTTGAATCTCTTTCCTGTTCTTGTCAGTTGTGCCATCTGCCATGATTCTGAACAGTTCTGCCTTTCGCACGTCTTCGGCGATTTTGGTCTTCACTAAGGAAGCTAAGACTTCGATGACTTCATTCTGTATGTCATGGGAAGTGTACTTAGCGTTTTTTGGAAGATTCTTGTGAATTTTCCTCCATTTTTCTTCCAGCGGAAACAGAAGTTGAGAAAAAGCTCTTAAAAACAAGCCATTTCCTGTGTCAATATCGGATTCATCAGAACCACGGAACGCGAGACCATTCGCACATAAAAATCTTGAAACGTTAAAAACAGCAAATAACCATTGCTTCTGATCATTATTTAATGATACAAAAGATGCTGTTACGGGGCAGCCACGTGCATTTCGCATTTTCGCTTCTTCGTAAGCCTGTGTTGCTTTCGAATGATCAATCGAGGATTGGTGTTGCTGGAATCCCTTTGCCTTGTCCTTAGCGTGTTTCCAGTCGCGATAGCCACTTTTAGTAAATACGGTCTCCGTTGGATTAGGCGAATATACTCTACACTGGAAGCAGAAACAAGCGTCCAAATCCGTGTTGTATTCCAACCACTTATATTCGCCATACCAGTTAGAATTGAAGCGTCGTATTTTACCTCTGAAACTTGTACCTGGGTATGCTTTCAAGTACGGTTGGCATGGGCCTTCCTTGTTATCAAAAAAATTTGGTTTTCCAGAATGGTCGTTTTGAGGCAGTTGAGGTCCATGTATGTTCTCCTGGACTTGCCCACGATCTTCATGTTGCAAATTCAAACCTGATGGATGGCTTATTACGGTGACGGTCGTGCCAGTATCTCGCAGCGCTTCACTCCTTGAATATCGATGCTCATGATCGGCGTCGATAGTCGTATTAGTGCTGTCATCATCAATGGATTCACCAGATACCGACATTTCTGATATGCTCTCTTGACTTTCTCTTGACTCTCCTTCATTGTTGTTTGACTTTTTCCGCTTTTTCGAGAAGTAATCCAATAATGTTTTATTCATTTTTCACACTGACAATGTCAATGGAAGCCATATTGAAGTGCTTCCACCTTCCACAAATTGAAGTGCTTCCACCTTCCACAAAAAAATTTTACTTCCTTGGTGCTAGGGGGGGCCTTGCCCCCCCAGGCCCCCCCCCCAGCTCCGGGCCTGCATGATATGAAATAAAAATACGTTTAATACTGCTGTATTTATACAACATAGGAGCATTTTTATATTTTTATTTTTATATAAAAATCATCTCACCTTAAAAACACAACTAGAGTGAATTTGTACCAGTGGAGGACAACCGCAATCAGCGAACATTTCATCAATTTTTATTCCGTTAACCAGAGCTGGACAAAGGACTATTCTACGAACTATCTGTATTAAAAACTATAAACATGAACCTCACATCCTCACGACATTCAAGTTCATCACACGGTAATTCTTCCGAAATCAAGATTAAAGGCTGTTTTGACACACAGTGAACACACAGAAGCTCGTGTCCACCCAAAAACGAAGCTTTCTTTCCATGTATAGTGCAAAAATTCACCAATTTACAATTTTTTTTTCGATAAATCTTTTCCAAATCTTTTGAAACCTCGAGGTGTAAACACAGCGAAAGCCGACCGAACAATGACGGCGCAGAGCGAGAAATCGATAATATGTAAAAAACCGCGCCTGACCGCGTTGCATGCCGGTATAGTCCTCACTCCTCCTCTGAGTTGAACCAGAGCCTTCGCGACGTTTCAATTTATTATTTACTGTCGAAGCTAACACGTGCAGCTAACACGTGGTGGCCTGCACGCAGCCCGCTACCTGCCTAAAATTCAGGTTGTGTGCAGCCTACTTAATACTTAGTTTCATTAATAATTTTAGATTCCACTGACTCGGTCACAGGCTCCGAAAGAGGTTTTTTTTATTTTTGCACGCGGACATATTGGTTATGAGCGAAGGAAAGTAATATAATTTAAAATTAATGAAAGGTTCATCTTCAAAACATTTCTGTTCAATCAGTTGATTAAAAAATTCCTTAAATTTCCTTAGAATTTTCAAAAATTCCTCAGATTTCCTTGATTCCTTTTTTTTCCTTGAAACGTCTTTTTTCGGTCAAAATTTCCTTGAAAAAGGAAATTTCCTTGAAAGTGGAATTACTGCACATGGCGATTTTAATGATTTTATATTGTCGTCGTACTCGTACGTCAATTTAATCTTCGCGGTGAATAATAACCGGATAACCGGATAATCGGATAACCGGATAACCGGATAACCGGATAACCGGATAATCGGATAACCGGATAACCGGATAACCGGATAACCGGATAACCGGATAACCGAATAGTATATAGAGATTTTTTCATGGGAAATACTTACGTGTGGTATTTACGCACGCGTTATAATCTGTTTTCGCAAATTAAACGAACGAGCGAGTGCAAAATTTGTTCTTCATAGACGATACAGAGTTTATTTATATTACGCAGCGAAAAATATAAAGGTTTATATGTTTCATAAAGCGAGACAATCAGATAAACAAAGTCGTGTCGTACAAAAATACATCGGAAAATACAAATTTTTCAGTATTAATGAACAGGAAAGGAAATATCAATTTATTATTATTATTTACAAATATTTTAAAACGGTAGCTCTTCAGAACACCTATGATCCGTTTTTCAAGAGGCCGTTTAAACTAATATTTACAAAGTTTAATAAAAATTACATCTAAAATATAATATAATATAAATTATCACACAGTTAAAGTCTAAGAGAATATATACAAAATATTGTGTCCCATCGTCATTTCTTTTGCCTTAATCTCATTTGGCAAATTATTCCAGCATTTTGCCCCTGAGTAGCTAATACTTTTTTTGAGGAAATTAGTCTTAGGTTTATCCAGTTGAAAATTAATTCCGTTATTTCTAAGGTCATATTTTTCATTATTAGAGAATTTAAACAAATTAGCCATATTTGCCGGTGCCTCCTGATTTTTAACATTAAACATGAATGTGAATCTCCCGCTTCCCTTCTTTCCTCAAGTGTTTGCCAATTAAGCTCTTTTAGCAATTCACTTGTTCGTATTTCATATGATTTGCCAGTAATTATTCTTGCCGATCTATTTTGCATTTTTTTGCATCTTGTCGTGCAAGTAATTGCTGCAATTTTCCCAAACTAGACTGCAATAATCAATAAAAAGGAAATATCAATAAAATAATGCACACTAAAAATTCTTAATTTGTTAAAAATTCGGAAAAAAAATACCGGGGTGTGTGAAAATATTGCTGCAATCATTATTGCGTAAAACGTGCCTTTCTGACCGATAGCTACTAATAACGAACAGAAATCCTCGGCAGAAATCAGTCTCAAAGTAATAAATATTTGCCCGAAAAATAGAAATCAAACCTAGAATTGTTATTGTTGAGAATATTAAATGCCCATCTTTGTTTATTGTTGAAAACATGACAATCAAAATATTAAAGTAACAACAAGGCAGGTGTAAAAGTCGGACCGGATCGCCAGTCCGGGTCGGATTAGGTCGGACCAAGTCGGATCAGGTCGGATCTTTAGAAAATTTAGAAATATCAGGATATTCCGGGAAATGTTGCTTACACAAATGGAAGTTTGCATCTTTCCAGCGTTATTTACACAGCGTGGCAAATCGGAAAAATGGATAGAACAGGTTAGGGGCACTTTAAAAGCCTTTACTTGTGTTGGGAAAATGTTATGGAAAGACGGTGAATTATACTTTAAGCTTTGCTTTATATTAGTCGAGTCCCATTGTTTAACGTCTACGCGTCATTAGCTGAATTCATATTAGAAGACAGATTTCCGTCCAAGACGGGAAACTCTTCTCAGACCAGAAACTCGTCTTGGTATAAATCCGGTTAACGACGGGTTCTCCGCGTTTCAACTTTTCCGTCTGACGAGTTTCTCGTCTTAGACGGAAATCCGTCTTAAATTTATATAAGACGAATAAATTAAGACGGGTTTCTGCTCGTAACGTTCAAAAGAAACTTGGATGGTGAGGGTCTCCTATTTTTTCGAGTTTATCCGTCCGATAGTTTTCATTTCATACTTATACCAGACGGAATCCAGCTATTGCCATGGCTATTTTAAAATTTTATGATAATAAAGCTGCACAGTATAAGTATAATGTCTAATGAAAACAATAGTGTAGATGTTTCTGATCAGAGTTCTGCATCTTCAAATTTCACATGTGAAGCGTGTATTTTCGTTTTGGCAATTTGGCACGGCCGGACTAGCGATTCGGTCATCAATGCGATCCAGTCCGACTTTTATACCTGCACGGTCCGACCTAATCCGACGCGGACTGGCGATCCGGTCCGACTTTTACACCTGCCTGTAACAACAGTTGATTGGCTTCCTTGTTGTTACCGACTTAGCTACTCT